TGAAAGGGTTAAAAACATTTTGTATTTGCATAAAGTAGCAGATGTTAAAAATCAAAATTTGCACCACCAGTGCTTGAATGTGTGACTCTTCTTGGCTACTTGCACCACCAGGTAAAATGTTTTGGGGGTGGAGGGGGGGAGCCCCAAGAATCCACTTACCCTGGGCCTTGCAACTTCTTAATCTGGCCCTGCCTGCCAGGTAGGGTAAACAGGGGAGTAGTGGACCACTCCTAAGGTTTTATTCCTATATCTTATAGGAATAAAACCTTAAGAGTGGTCCACTACTCCCCTGTGTACCCTAGCATTTTGGAATCAAAGGACAAATTCATTTTTGAAGAAATTTACATTTTCTCCTCTCCATTTTCCAGCTGGAATTCCTGGTGGTTCTACTGGAGAGAGTGGTAAGCAAATACTCTTTTGAATCTTTATTCTTTGGGTACTTTACATGCTGCATGATAGCTGCACTCTATTGTCTTTTGCACAAAGATGGTGGCAATCAGGATTTCCCAATGGTTTATGTCATTGTGACCTGTGTGGGAGGTGTCATCTTCCTGATTCTTTTGGCTGGTGGAACATATTTATTATGCAGACGGAGACAAGACCATCGACAGCGCATGCGTCAAGGGTACCGTCCTGTGGATGCCTCCAGAATGCTTAAATTATCTATTTGACTGCTGCCCTTTTTCCATAACTTTGAAAATATTATTACATTGGTAGATACATGAAGCCAGGAGGCAAAGGAAAGGGTGACTTGAAGCCTCCTGACTTGTGGATTCATCATCAAGAGCATGTGGAGATGAGATGTGTAGATGGAGGACAGAGTGATGATGAATTGAATGTTCAGGCACAGTCTCATCGTCCAGGAACATCTACCCCAGTGCAGAAGCAGTACCTGAGTAATTCGACATTAGACCGACGCTCTGTGTCGGGCTTTGGAGGCTCCTCCACCTACCTCAGCAGTAAAGGTGACAGTCTGTGTTTCACTTTTCCTGAATGGGAAGTGTATTATAACTGGGACGTAAAGTGTTTTAGATTTGCCCCAAATTCTACATGGCCTGTGCATTTCTATCATAGGAGATATACGGCGTGGTGAGAGTCCAGAAAAGGCATTCGCCACTGGCCGTCGCCCACCCGTCAAACCCAAGCCTTCCATCATGATCCCTGTTGATGCACAGCCACCAAAAGAACGTGAGGGGAACCTTTCTCTGTCTGAATGTTAAAAACATTCTCTGTGCATTGTCTTTATCTCATTTATCTTTCTTCAGCTCTGGCTATTGTAAATGGTGAAGTATTAGTGGGTCCCCCACGACCTCCATCATATCCCCGAACCCAATTTCATATGACACGAACAGCTGCTCATGTCACTGTTGACCCATCTGGTGCACCTGGTATGCTATGGTTTCCTCACCAAATAAATTTGTTGCCTACGTTCATGAGACTATGCCAAACCGGTTTCTTGGTGTTAACAGTCATGCACACTTCACCAACAGTGGAGCATCCATATAGCGTCGTGGCCACAACGGCTTCCATCACGATGACCACCGGTCCCTTTGACTCGGAGGAGGACCGAAGTGGACTCAAGAGCTTCCATCCACAGTATCCATATCCATTGAGCAGTGGGAAGCCTCACTCAAATCCCCCCACCCACTCTCAATCACAGCCTCATTCTCCCACTGGTAGTTCACTCTGTTCACCCATCAATGATGTCTGGAAAAAACAGGTTTGCTTTTTCAACCAACCATTGTGACTTGATGTTTTGTCTGCACAACAGGAGAAATGTTGCCAAAGGTGACGACCCCGCTGCGTCGGGTCCACAGCCCCCCTCACCCCTTGGCAAACCCTCGAGTGCTCAGCACTGCTTCATCTGCAGACCTCAAGGTAGTGGCTGTGATTGTATTTGCAATGCAATTTGTTTTCCATTTATGTCACACATATTGATCTGTGGAATGTGGCCCTTTTTTTGTAGCCCACTCTGAGTACAGAGGAGTTGAGTCAAGAGATGGCAAATCTTGAAGGGTTAATGAAGGATCTTAATGCCATCACGGCTTCCCAGTTCGAGTGAACGTCTTCTATTCGTCCGACGCACTCGGGCGTTCATGTATCGATTATCACGTCTCGTGCATTTCGTCGACTTCCAGTTTCGTCCTTCCGTGGAAAGTATTTACTTTCTGTCTTTGTCATTTTGATACCACGATTGCTGGAATTTTATTTTTTGACTCAGTGGATTGGTGCAATGTTTTTTCCTCCTTTTTTGCATTCACTGGATCCTTTTATTTTGGTACAGTCTCAGTGCCATGCTCAAAGGTGCATTTCATGAATTCAATTTTTGTTTCTTTTTTAATTTATTTCTTGTAATTTGTATCTCAGAAATATCTCTGTGTGTGCCTGTCCATGTTTAAAGACATCTTTGCACATATTCGAAATGAAGTGGCATTTTGTACCCATCCCAGAAGTTATATGATTTTGCAGTAGCCAGATAGTAATGCAGTCCAGGAATGGCTCGGTTAAACTGGGCTGTTTTTTTATTTATTGTATTTGTCTTCCGCATTGAAGCTGAGGGACATGAGAGATTCGGGTTTTTGGGGGCATTCTTGCACTTTTAGATCATGACTCATTCCTCTGCATCTAAGATATAGGCCTTTGAACAGGTGGATATATCGTTTTGGGGAGAGCACTTCAATTGTTAAGTTACCAAGTATTTACTCCTTTACCACCCCTCTCATAGCCCTCTGGCAACGTTTGTTTTAATAATACTGCCGCAAACTTCGCCAAGTTTCTTGCTAAATCTCAGAAGAGTTCTGGTAAAGTTAACATCTATGTGATTCTTTAAACAATTCATCCAGTAAAATATTCACGATGTAATAAAATTGAAACCGGAAGACTAGATCGCAGTGTTGCGGGTTCCAGCTCTATTACACCACTCAGCAATATTTTCAGCAAATTTCAGCAATTTTTTTGTCCAACCGACTGGAACCACGACCACACTTCGAACAACCAGGGAATCAAATTTTTTCCGCCCTCGCGAATGGCCTGGCAAGCAAATGTAATATATTATTTTCTGAATATTTGGATTGTGGGGACCCAATCTAAGCAGTCCAGTAATATTTCAGGTATTTGGCTCGACCAGACGGCTCGCATCGCAATGAACAATGCAACCTTGAAATGAAGATTCCTTCAGGGCAAAAAAAAAAAAAAAAAACCGACAGAAATCATACCACC